ACAGAAATGAATGAAACTTCTATGACTAAGCTTGAATAAATATCAGCAAAAAGACGACTTCTGACCAATGAAATGGGTGACAGGTGAGGCCGTTTTAGTCACCAGTCGGTTCAAGACTTGTTCTAGAATCTCCCCTCTGATTGGTTCATGCATCTGTACAAAAAGAAAACACAAAGAGTTGGCTTCTTTAAGTAATACAACTGGAAGAACATCGATTGACCACTATACTATACCTTGAAGCTCTCAAGGAGAACTTGTCCACCAAGTCGACACGCTAGCTGGTTTGGCGTTTTAGCCGTGCTTGACGTTCCTTCTGTGACCTTCCCAAATGCTCCGGCTTTAGGCCCAAATGAATCCATAAGTATAAACCCCAGTTGCACCAGACCTTGAGTGACATGATCCCAGCCAAACACGCTGCAAATAAACATTGAACAAATTGAACAAATCTACACAATAAATTAAGGAACTCAAAATCACTGCAGTTTAACCAGACCTGTTTTTGACAGTGTCTAAAATCATGTTGGAGATGCTGTTACACTGAGGCAGCAGTTCCTGCAGAAACTTTGAGCTGTGCTGAATCTGATCATCCTTGAAGTTCTTAGTGATGGCGCCCTTCAGGAACTCAAATACCTGAGCATTATGGGTAATTTTAAGAGTGGCACAAAGGTTTGAGACGGTAAAACCACTGGTTTTAGGCTATCACGGGCACATTTTAAAGAATTTGAAACACTCAATGTTTAAATGCACATATGATACGTAAAAATGCTGTCCTGATAGACAGCTTACTAGGTTTTAAGAGGAATAATGAAACAGAGACATACCTGCTCTTCGTACCGTTGTATGCGAGCCACAGAGAGCAGCAAAGCAATACTGAAGGGACACAACGGATCACTGTGGGCCATCTACAAAAGAAGACCAACAGCTAGCACACAGATACTCAAAGAAAAAGTTATGTGAAACAGACAGACATTCACCTTAAGGTTTTTTAAAAATTCCCTGCCGAGCTCATGGTCAAGACGAATGGCAAAGACAATGTGGAGGATGACGGTTCCTTCTACGTGACGCAGCTGATCCTGTGGTATGGTCTGCACCTCCACATCTTCACTCCTAATACAGATACATATATAAAAATTATCTAGGTCTCTTTATTTTACATGCCAAGTCAAATGAAAAACGAATCGAGCAAGTGTCCTACTCACTCTCCATTCCTCTGCTCCTCTTTCTGAAGTTGGTCTTGCTTCTTGAAGTAACTGATGATTCCCTCTAGAACCAACTTCTTACAGCCCTATTGATTAAAAAAAAAAAAAAAGAATCTGACCATATACACATGGTGCACTTTTAAAGTACTTTTAAAACTTATGATCTATAAACTGACCTTGGCAGACAGCAGCAGCAGCTGATAGATCAGAGGTGGAATCTCCTGAAGCTCCAACTTGAGGAACATCCGTAGAATCTTCTCAATCAAAAACTGAAGCTCCTCAGCAGATAACGGAACATCCCTAACACAAAATATACAGTTTTCTTCGTGTTCAAGACAAAAGTGGATAACTAGCCAGTAAATATGTCATACCTGAACATGGTTGTAAGGTGTATTACACACTGTGGATCCCATCTGCATGAATTGGAGATATGTTAGTTCAAGGCAGAAGACTGACTACCTTTTGTGTTCTGAACTGGTATTACTTGGACAGCAATGTCACACTTCTTGATTTTTGTCTTTATGGATTACTAATTGAAAACCAATATTAAAGCACTTAAAATTGAGATTTTACCTGCTAGAGCAAAGACTGTTGATCAGCTGTTTCTTGTATTCATCTCCACTTAGCTCACCTGAAGTAAAAAAGTAAACTTGTATGTATGCTACTATTAAATACAATTAAATAAAAATCAATAAGAAACCAAGCAAACAAACCAGTCTTCAATCAGAAATCATTCTGATATGCTGATTTGGAAAATTCTAGTCAAAAAGGCTTTAAAAAAGTTACAGGTTTTTTATCTCTACGCCAGAAGTCTTTAACCCAGATTTACTCAGTTAACATTACTTTTTGAAAAGATAAAATTTTTGCTGTTTTACTCTATAGAGCGATTTCCTTTTTAACAGAACAGTTTGGGCTTAGCAAATAGCAACTTACCTTTCCCATAAGCCAATGCTTCTGTAGCGGCAAGAGCTGTTAGAATTGTAGGGAAAAGTTCCAGGGATCTCCCACTATTCATCTCACCTACTTTGATGGCATCCACATATAGAGACGCTAACGTGGCTAATGCGTGACCAGGTAGACTGTGTGTCTATGGCACAGAAGAAAAGCATATTACAAAGGTACAGTATTAATACCAAGTTCAACTCGTCCAAATCAGGTTTTTGGACTTGAACCAAAGATTCATTAACTACAAATAATAAACCATTTAGAAAACACACTTAATTACAGGTTCAGTCCTCCAGATCAACCCATGTGGGATTCGAACCTACTGGTTACCAGCCAAGATGATAACCAGTGCATTGCTATTAATTTGTGTACGGTATGGTAAGCAACTCACCTCTAACATCAGAAGTCCAATGATATCTGATGCCACTTCCGTCTGCAGGTCTCCAGATTCACACAGTGGAATACAGTGCTTGTACACAAGCAGTCTGCGGTTAGCGCCATGCGAAACACTTACCGGTGAACCTAACATCACAAACACAAAAACACAGTTTGATGTTCAGCTCTGCTTGATGAGGCAGCACAGAGTTAGTACAGATGAAACACACACAAATTAAATAGAATTAAAACATGCTACCTTTAAATATGGCTTTGATCAGGATGCCTGTGTCCTTTCCTTTCAGAGCACTATTAGTAAGCATGGTTGTGAGCTTTAGAAAGACACAAAAAGCACATTTAAAAGTGCATATATTTGCATATAATTTAAAAATGCTACCTTGTACATGACATTTCAGACTATTTGCATCAACTGCAGCCTCATTACATATCAGTACACACATTAAACACAAACCTGATCATCAGACAGCAAAGCAAGATGCTTTTGTAGCTCATCTACACCATCACTCTCCGATAATGATAGGATTTTATCCACCGTAACCTTCATATTAGACATCTACGTACACTGACCTGTGAATATACATCATCATTAGCAAGACATAATTTCAAAGGAGCTCGCGACGTCCAAAACTGAGAATTTGTCATTTCTGTTTTATAGTGCTTTTTGCTCTTTTTTGGAGCTTGACAGTAATGGTCACAATATTTGTCACTGTATTTCTGCATTTAACTGTAAATACCACTGTATTTCTCCAAACATTATTCAGAAATTTCTATTTTTGTGTTCCACTACAACATATTAGCCTATAGGTATAGAACAATATGAGGGTGATTAAGTTGGGGGTGACAGAAATTTCATTCATAATTACTGTCTGCTTACTATATTTGACAGCTCAGGGATGTTATAACCAATATACAAATATTATTAAATAACCATTTATAATGTGAAAACAGACTCAAAGAACAGTCACTTATGAAGCAACACATGCACTAATTATATATGCATACATGTTCATTATTTACGTAATTACTAAATGTGAAACATTAAAATATGTAACAGACTAATTTGTTAAAATACTAAGATCTACTGATATTCGATTCATACTGAAACAAACAAACCAGAACAACTGTAGCAGCAACTGTCAGATTCGCATAAGACATGACATATTGAAATATGAAAGCGTTAAATGTGTAGTCTGCCTTTACAATACCAAACACTTGCCTGTTTAGTGAATTTTATGTAGGAGTTGTTTATAAATGTTCCTTTTCAGAAGAACTGTTGAAATCTCTTGCCTTTTTTAGTCGGTAACCCGCGTTAGCTAGCTTGTTTAATAACAACCGAAACTCCCGCCAGTGTGTCCATGAAACGCTTCCTATTGCGTCATGTCGCGCCTGTACATTTGATTGGCCAGTGTGGGCGGGGTTAGCGGTTCAGTCTTTTTTATTTTATTTATTTTTAACTATTCACTGTTCGTTTATTACTCCTATTATTCTATTATTTCATTATTAAGATTAATCATTATGTTAAAATTCCTAGCCATGCCTGTTCCTAGGTTGCATTAGTATGTGGTACCTGTAACTTTTCTCAGCGCTTGCTAAGGAGCACCAATCACAATCGTCTGATTTGGTAAAATCATGTAATACTGCGGCGGATTTGAAATAAAAAAAAATAGAAGAAATAGAAGCAGGCAGAACTACCCTTTTAACAGTCAAATGGGACTGTTTTCTTAGTGGCAACAGGTGAAGTCAAAATATTGAATGAGTACAAACATTTGGGCGATTTCTATAATTTACTGTTTATATTTTACTAAGGAGTGGATGATGGATTTTCTTGACATATAGGTGAGTTGATGTTAGATGGAATGGAGCTCTCCATTCATTTACAAATGATTTTATTTATCATAGTCTGTATCTGACACTGTTTGATGTAGCTATAAGTTCCTACTGTATACTGACACATGCTGCTGAGTTAGGAATCGGAAATATGATTATTTGTCTTTGATTGTCAGTTATGAGAGCAGTTATGTGATAATATGTGGCAATATTATAATATTGTATTGTTGCAATATTTATTTAATTTGATTAAATTACTCAAGCATTGACAAAGCATATATAGCATGATTTTGTATTGTATGGTATATGCCTATAGTATAATATTATATACAAGTACATAAGGTTTACTCTTTTAGGCTAGGACTTTCAAAGCCTTCCCAGTAAACTTGGTGGTTAACATTTGGACACATGGTCTTGGGATATGCATAGTATCTTGACTCCCATAAAGTATCTGGAAATGCACATTTACAGTAGAGGTCTACAGTTGCTTTGCTTTTACATTTTTTCTCTTAGTTTTTTCTTTGTCTGCTGGACACAAAAGCCATTTCTAAGCACAGTTGAGTATGAGACTACAACTTAATTGTCAAATGTTTTTGAAAAAAATGGAATGCAATGAACTTTTTTTGTTGTTGTTGCTGGTTAACTTCTTTATTGTGTTGAACATTCACTTATTTCATCAAAATTATACAGAACATACCGAACGTTCATTATACCAAAGAAAAGACAATTGAAATAGTTTTGTTACAGATAATTTAAACATGTAAGATCATATTTAAAGTGAAAACCCTAGCCCTAGAAGAAAAGCATCAATTCCTTGCCGCGTTCCTTATTTCAAATATCTCGTCTTAAGTAATTTAGCTCACATCAGCAATAATCAAAGGAAAAGCTTTAAGATCAGCATCTTTTATCAAGTCTTCAGGCCTTTTAGTCTACACACTGTCTAGCAGTGCATGTGCAGCTCTCAATGTGAATATAGTCATGAACAACCTCGCTGTCATTGGCACACTTCAGCGTCACCTGTCGACGGCTGACTTTCTCCTCTTGGCAACAAGAACAGATGTGCATCATGCTGTTCTTTTCCATTGAATACCTGAAGATGAACAGTCTTGTTAGCTTTTTTGTAAAGCAAAATAGCACTGTATTATTAGAATGGAGGTGTGGCTGTGGAGGAAATGCTCATTTCTTTTAGCTGATTTTGTAATTATGAGTTATCCGATATGGTAAAGTTAATGAAAAATCTCAGATTATTCTGCTGTGATGATTTTTGAATGTTAAATAATGCATTCCGATGAATAAGAGTAAAATATTAAAAAGAAATGAAATTGACTGTAACCATACCAGCTATTCACATGGAAGTTTTGCTGTAGCAATCAGTTCAAATGTGATTGTTGTTAGTCATGTGAAATTATTAAATAATCAAGGCTGTACAAAATTTTCATTATCAATTATATGTGCAAGTGCTTTTACATTGATTGGGTGCCACAGTGACCACTGCAGGACGTCACTTCTATGGGGTGGATGGACTTGCAGTCATTTACATCCACATGGGTTGTGTTCTTCAAAACAATGCAAGTCTTGGGCTCACCTAAGATATTTGAGAGAAAAGTAAACTTTTGACTCCATCTCGAAAATTGTACATATGCATTGTTTTATGTATTACATATGCTTGAGATGATTCTTCCTTAATCTTTAGTACAGTTGAGGGAGGTGATGACAAAATAATGAATTTGTCAAACATTATTGGTCAATCATTTTGAGCAAATGAATGGACAACAATTAAAGAGTTTCTTACAGATCTTGCAACATCCATCTGCATCATATCTCTCAGTTCCCTATATGTAAACAGTCACACATTTCAACATTAGTAGAAAAAGTAACCAAACCATACAACAGTCAAGTTGTTGAAGCAAATAAATTATTGGTGATGTAATGTTTGTGAATAAAGTATACCATATATATATATGTTTGACTTACAGGCTCACAATTATCTGGATTGAAGTCAGGGCATTTTGGTGTGATCTTCTCCGTCACAAACAAGCCATTCATTTCACTGCAGGTAATATTCTCACAATTGTAATGTTTCACTTCTCCAACCTAAAAGAAAAAGGGAAACATGCTAAATGAGGACTGAAGAACAGAGAAGGTTCGTTGGCTGGTGAAATAGATGCTCATAGAAAAGTTTGTGAATGTTTTAATATATACCTGGAGAGTATGTGTGGTGTTGTCCGGTGCAGTATAAATGCAGCTGATTTGCTTGCATGTTCCACAGCACTCTCCTTCTTGTTCTACACGCTCAAAGCCCTTGGAAAATCAAAAGAGTACTAGATTGTAGTAAATTCATCAAATGGAACTTGATCTTTTGAGACACTTGATGTACAGACTGTAACTACCAGAACTCAAAACTTCCTCCTCAGTCCCAAAGGGCTTTACTAGAAGTTCAGGCAAGTTCAGAATTTATAATATAAATCTATCCTAATGTTTAATATTATAATAATAAGCATAAATTGTAATTATTACCTCAGCACAAGGTGAACAGACTTTATTTACACATGCCACGGAATGTAGTTGGGTCTGTGGGTCTTTATCCATTTGGCAGTAACATTCCAAACAAGGCTCCATAGGGATTTGAACTCCAGGCTAAAAAGAAAGTGAACCCATCATTATAGAAAAGATTTAGATAAAGATTACACATTCTTCTGTATTCCTTTTTTTAACAGTGAAAAGCATATAATGTAATGTGATATAAATATGATATTTATGACATTTCCTGTTTGTTAATGTTACCAGTTAGCATGAACATATGAACTTAGCAGCTCACCTGGTACTCAGTGTTATTGTGCACACATACATCTTTGGGCACTGAATAGAAAAAAAATAGTGTCAGAAATTGTTTAGAAAGTTAAAGAGCTTTAATGTAATTAATTAGCAACTGTTGTAGTAGTATATCACATTTTATTCAGGTAAACTCCAAATGTTGCAAAAGCTTTACAAAATTTTCATTACATTTTTTTGTACAATACTTGTACTTTTCTTTTTTTTAATGTGAACAGTACTGTACTTTGAAGTTTAATAGTACTTGTCTGGGTATGAAATTAGAGACTTACCACATGGTGGACAGCAACTGTCCTCAGGTATCTCTGCTGCTAACTCGTACCCCACATCACATTTCATAGAACACTGGCTGGTATCACACACTGAATGGGCAGAGGAGGCATTATGTAAGCATTATGTAAATTATTCTGAAATGTTATTATAGCTGGTTCTAATTCGATGTTGGTTACACATCCAGATAAAATGTGCTTTGAAACATTTATTTCACACAGTCTGAATGTCTACTTTGGGGAAGTTTCCTACATATTTTCAACTAGATTTTTGCCCCCATCCAAAATTGGATGATGAAATTCTATAATGAAATGAAGCCTGGAATTTTGGAAGAGGACTTTGGAGAACTACACTGCTTCTGACACTGGCACCCACTTTCAAGGAAACATTTTTAACTGTACATGGAGATTGAATATGAAGTTCACAGTATGATTTTCAAATCTATTCCTTTATATTAATATTACCCTGCATTCATTTACTATTAAGATTTTAGAAAATAATAAGCTATTGATCAGATTTTTTCCCTGTATTTGTGGCCTAAATGATATTTCAGGAAAGTTGAGTTGGAGGTTGTATTTGTAATCTGAAGGATGATTATGAACCTTTAATTGATAAATCATGCACAGTTAGATCAGAAATTTGTACTAGGACAGTAAATGAGGTCAGTTTTGTTATCATGTTTATTTCATTTAATCTGTTTAGCTCTCTGATTGTCATTGTACTTGATTACTCACCACAGGTTGGACAGCAGTTTTCAATGATGCTTTTGTACTCGTGGCCACAGGGCTCTATGGTTGGACAATTCATAGGCTCTTGAACAACACCAAAGCTCTCAGTGGAGCATTTGTATGTTGTACAGTTCACGATCCATGTATCTCCTGGCTATAGCAGAGGAAGTAAGGTAAAGATATGGGTATAATATGGGGTAGAATGTGTTCAAATGCAGTTTTTACTTTGACTGAATGAGTAAATTATCTGTATACAGCCATTATTTTGCAGTAGTGTAATGGTTAAGCTCTGCTTTTTACACATGTGTAAGGGGGTAGGGGTAGGACTAGAGTTAAAGGCACAATATGTAATTTTCGCCGCTAGAGGGCACGTATTCAAAATAAACAAATAGACAAAGGCGTAGTTTGATGACGCCGTGACTGAATGTGGAATCATGGGAGTTGTCGTTTTCATTCCCATGCAATCCGACGGGACTCGGGCAGAAATCATGTTCATGGATGAGCTAATGATTTATTAACATACTAGAATGAAGCAGGGTGAGGCTGAAAGCCATCGAAGCGAAACAAGGCCGCTGAATGAGCGTGACACACGTTTCGAAAGCAGCGAAGCTTTTATTATGCCGCTTCCGCTCCTTCCGGTCGTGCGTATGTGGTAAAAAAAAGCAGCGCTGTTTTATCATACTAGATACATTTGAAAGTTCTGTTATAATGCTACTCTGTGCGGTCGTCACCACTAGTTAAAATTATTAATTAGCTTATTTCTCTGGATTTAAACATTCTTCGAAACATTTGGGATAATGTAAGTACACAAGTCAGCAAAATATATAACACTGTTCTAGTGGTTTTTGGATATTTTAATAAAAAAAATCTTACATATTGTGCTAAGTTCACATTCCTGGAAAATGTCATGTGAATGGTTTTGCTGCTACTGCTAAAAGAGACATACCTGTCTTGGTAATCCATCGGGGCCAATGCAATCTATATGTGGGGAATGGAAAAGATAACATTTTGGCTTCAAGACACATTATTTATAACAAATATAGAGAGAGTAAATGAAGTAATATCGCTTACCGCAAGTAGGTGTGCACTGATCTGTTGTTGAACTAACTAGATATGTGTTGTCAGGACAGTAACAACCTTCCATGAATGTTTGATGGTCAGTTTGGCTTTGGTCTTCCACAAACATCTCATTGTATCTGGTTGTAAGTCAAGCACATGTGGCATTAAAGTTATTAATGCAGTGAAATTTGGACAATACTGTATTACAGTAACACCTTTGGAAATTAATTGATATAGAGAGTGGTTACCTTGTACTGCAGGTTCTTTCAACTTTAGGCCCACATGCCTTGAAGACTTTGTGATCAGCACATTTGTATGCTATTAACCAAAGACAATCGAGCGATTTAGGATACAGTCAGAAAAAGATGCATCACTGTGTTACTGTAGGTTCATTCGGTTTTCTTACCGCATAGCCCGTTGAGGTCAGCTGAGTCTCTCCAGTCCACACATATAGACTGCTGGCCGCATAGCTGTGCATAGGCCTCTACACTGGCACAGGCCATGGAGTCATTTTTCTTGTAGCACACATCATATTTACATGCCTCATAGTAGCTTTGATAGGGAACGATGTTATGACAGCTCTTGAACAAACTGAACAAAATACAAAAGTTTAGGGAGAAAACGTAAACTGAAGCATATCATGGTTCAACAAAAAAGGTAATCGTCATAAAAACTATCTCTGAAATCTCTTTTTAATTTGTTATAGGTAAAGTTTGTAATTTTTGTGCAACTTGATGTATCAAATGGAATTGCAGTTTATTTGAACAGTCCGAGTGGACTGGACAGAGTAACACTGGCTCAACCAATGGTGTTTTGGGTGCAACTACCTGAATGCAGAACAGTGGCAGATAGAGGGGGTGTTTAAATATTTTTGCAATTCTATTTGGTGCTGTTAGTGGAGGAGAAATTCCAGATTTCACCTTGAAGGGTTTCTGAAAATGTACTGAGTGATTGTTGTGGGCTTAGCCTTACTCGCTCTTGATGACCTCACAGATTTGTGCTGTGCAGGTAGGAAGAGGTTCGCTTGGATGTGGTGGAGGGGTTTCACATTCTGGGGAGTCCGCCCACAATGCTGCCATTTGCTCACATGACTGGTCAGTTGTTCCATCGGGACGTCTGCAGTCATTTGTGGCATCATTGTCACAAACACCTAAAAATATTGACAGAATTTCAAAATTTGAATTGACAAAGTCTAGACATGCCAATAAAATTGTAAATCTGTGAAAGTTGTTGCATTGTCTCACAGAAGAAATTCTCTTTATCATTGTTATAGTCATTGCAGCAAGGGCACCACACTGTACTCACCGCACTGTCCCTCTGTATTACCATGGAAGTAGGTGAACGGGAGATTGATCTCAAAGCCTTGATGACTGACTAAAATCTCAGCTTTGATTTCCTTAATGTTCAAAATCACTGTCATGCCCGAGGTAGTGATGCTGAAATCTTCATTCAAGAAAGTTGGGACCTTAACAGCATCATTGACGTAAACCTGTAGGCAACAAGGGTTTTTGAGTTGTAATGAACCTTAGATTACTTTTTTGCAGTGTTTTAGTGTATATACTGTATGCTAAGCTAGCAGTGTTAAGTGATATTAGCATTGAAAATGTATTAAGTTGTCATGTTCTGGATTTTACAGTGTGTCAAGAATATGTTAATGTTTGTGATCAAATTTGTCTGAAATAGTCCTGACTTACCTGTATCTCTTTACTGTTACTTGCTAGCTTGATTTCATAGGATTTGTACTTCACAGTCACATACTCTGGACAAGCAAAATTATTTGTAACATCGCAATAATAGTTTTTAACATGGACACTGATATTGTATCTTGGAATGATTTCTCGGACCAACACATAGTCGCAATTTCCTTGGAAAACATAATATTTTCCATCAAACGTATTGTAATGAGGGTCACCCCAGCCACTGCATCGACCTGTTTTTCAGAAAACAAGTTAAACCAAGGTAAATTAGAATGCAAGGACAGTGTTACTTATCAATTTCCTGCCGCATGGTTTAAAGTTTAAACTCACATAGACACTCGTACTTAGTGCAGCAGCCATTGTTATAATAAACCTTCTCAGGCTTAAGTCCGTTGACACATGTAGGTATGACAGAATCAGCTGGATCACACTGTACAGGGCTTGTAGTAACATTCCCATTTATGCAGTTTTTAGTGGTACATCCCTCATTCCATGTCTCTCCATTCTGTTAAAGATTCAAATAATATTGCAGTTCAATTGTCACTTAGAATAACATTATTTTGGAAAATATAAATTGTACATGACAAGTGCCTTTTTTAACCTTTCTGTTGACATCGGTACAGTCATTTGGAACGGTTGAAATTGGAACTGTGGTAGTCTGAGGACATGGTTTCTGTGTTATTTCACTAACACAATTGGAGTTGCAGTAAGCGAAGTAGCACCAGCCTGCTTTATCAGTTTTGTTGTAAATGATTGACTCTATAGTTAGAATAATAGAATATGCATAATTAATGTCAATTGTTCATGCTTTTATCAAATTCTGAAATCAAAAAACTATAGGAGAAAGTTAAAAATTGCATGTAGTACTTACCAGGTGGGAAAGTTTGATTTGCAAATGTACAGTGACAGATCGTTGTGATGACAATTTGAGGTGATGAAGCATGTGTTGTTTTAGATGGTGATTCTGTATATACAGTGAACTTAGTTGATGGCATTTCTGTCACTGTAGGTGTTACTGTCAAAACGGTTGATGTAACAATGGTTGTAGTAATTGTTGATGGTGTCAGAGAAGTTTCTGTTCCTGTCGGAGGTAGTGTTTCTGTAGATGATGGTGCAGCAGTAAGAGCAGTAGTAGAAACTTCTGGTGATGTCGGTGTCTGTGTACCAGCAGTTGTAGTAGCTGTGGATGGTGTTTCAGTTCCTGTGGGAGGTTGTGTTTCTGTAGATGATGTTGGAGCAGTAACAGCAGTAGTAGAAACTCCTGGTGATGTAGGTGTCGGTGGACCAACAGTTGTAGTTGCCGTTGATGGCGTTTCTGTTCGTGTTGGAGGTGGTGTTTCTGTGATTGGTGTTTCAGCAGTAACAGCAGTAGTAGAAACTCCTGGTGATGTAGGTGTCGGTGGACCAACAGTTGTAGTTGCCGTTGATGGCGTTTCTGTTCGTGTTGGAGGTGGTGTTTCTGTGATTGGTGTTTCAGCAGTAACAGCAGTAGTAGAAATTTCTGTTGATGTTGGTGTTGCTGTACCAGCAGTTGTAGTAGCTGTGGATGATGTTTCTGTTCCTGTGGGAGGAGGTGTTTCTGTAGATGGAGTAGAAGCAGTAACAGCAGTAGTAGAAACTCCTGGTGATGTAGGTGTCGTTGGACCAGCAGTTGCTGTTGCTGTTGATGGCGTTTCTGTTCGTGTTGGAGGTGGTGTTTCTGTGATTGGTGTTTCAGCAGTAACAGCAGTGGTAGAAATTTCTGTTGATGCTGGTGTTGCTGTACCAGCAGTTGTAGTAGCTGTGGATGGTGTTTCGGTTCCTGTGGGAGGTGGTGTTTCTGTAGATGGAGTAGGAGCAGTAACAGCAGTAGTAGAAACTCCTGGTGATGTAGGTGTCGTTGGACCAGCAATTGTTGTTGCTGTTGATGGCGTTTCTGTTCGTGTTGGAGGTGACGTTTCGGTCTGTGGTGTTTCAGCAGTAACAGCAGTGGTAGAAATTTCTGGTGATGTTGGTGTTGGTGTACCAGCAGTTGTAGAGTAACAGCAGTAGTAGAAATTTCTGGTGATGTTGGTGTACCAGCAGTTGTAGTAGCTGTTGATGGTGTTTCTGTTCGTGTCGGAGGTGACGTTTCTGTCTGTGGTGTTTCAGTAGTTACTGCAGTAGTAGAAATTTCTGGTGATGTTGGTGTTGCTGTACCAGCAATTGTAGTAGCTGTGGATGGTGTTTCTGTTACTGTGGAAGGTTGTGTTTCTGTAGATGGTGTTGGAGCAGTAACAGCAGTGGTAGAAATTTGTGGTAATGTTGGAGTTGGTGTACCAGCAGTTGTAGTAGCTATGGATGGTGTTTCTGTTCCTGTGGGAGATGGTGTTTCTGTAGATGGAGTAGGAGCAGTAACAGCAGTAGTAGAAATTTCTGGTGATGTTGGTGTACCAGCAGTTGTAGTAGCTGTTAATGGTGTTTCGGTTCCTGTGGGAGGTGGTGTTTCTGTAGATGGAGTAGGAGCAGTAACAGCAGTAGTAGAAATTTCTGGTGATGTTGGTGTTGCTATACCAGAGGTTGTAGTAGCTGTGGATGGTATTTCAGTTCCTGTGGGAGGTGCTGTTTCTGTAGATGGAGTAGGAGCAGTAACAGCAGTAGTAGAAATTTCTGGTGATGTTGGTGTACCAGCTGTTGTAGTAGCTGCTGATGGTGTTTCTGTTCGTGTCGGAGGTGACGTTTCTGTCTGTGGTGTTTCAGTAGTTACAGCAGTAGTAGAAATTTCTGGTGATATTGGTGTTGCTGTACCAGCAGTTGTAGTAGCTGTGGATGGTGTTTCTGTTCCTGTGGGAGGTTGTGTTTCTGTAGATGGTGTTGGAGCAGTAACAGCAGTAGTAGAAATGTGTGGTAATTTTGGAGTTGGTGTACCAGCAGTTGTAGTAGCTGTTAATGGTGTTTCGGTTCCTGTGGGAGGTGGTGTTTATGGAGTTGGAGCAGTAACTGCAGTAGTAAAAAATCCTGGTGATGTAGGTGTTGGTGGACCAGCAGTTGTTGTTGCTGTTGATGGTGTTTCGGTTCGTGTTGGAGGTGGTGTTTCTGTGATTGGTGTTTCAGCAGTAACAGCAGTAGTAGAAATTTCTGGTGATGTTGGTGTTGGTGTACCAGCAGTTGTAGTAGCTGTGGATGGTGTTTCTGTTCCTGTGGGAGGTGGTGTTTCTGTAGATGGTGTTGGAGCAGTAACAGCAGTAGTAGAAACTCCTGGTGATGTTTGACCAGCAGGTGTAGGTGTTGATGGCATTTCTGGAGTTGTTAGCGTTACTGTCATAGGTGTCGAGGTGGAAGTCTTTGTGACTGTTATTATAATTGTTGTTTTAGTAGTTTGTGGTGGAGTTGTGAAAGTGAATGGCGTGGTTGTTGTCATGCATTTGTTAATATTTCTTATTATCATGCCGTTGAATCCACACACCGCCGTAAAACATGTGCCATTCCCATCTGTGGTATCGTACACCACTTGTCCAGTAGTGTATATCTTCCCATCATAGGTACACAGAGAAAGACATTCTGCCTCTGTAACACATTTCCTTGTGTCCTCCCTCAGAAATGGCCTTTCTAAAGGGCACTGAGGAAAACACCCTAGGGTAATAATAAATGGCAAGAAGGAATAAACAAGAAAGAAATTTCAATTGATTCAATTTTTTCTTGAATCTAAAGAAAAATTATTAACATATTAATAATTCACATGATAATATTCTCTGTGGTTTGGACTACATTTACCCAATAAATGATTTAAAGATTATTTCATACCCTCTAGAAGAGGAATTTGATTAGAACAAGTTCCTGATGGGTTTCTGCAAGTTTTCATGCAGGTGGATCCACAGGTTTTATAGTGCCATTCACATTCATCTGGAGGGTTGTTGTAGTAGTCACAGAATAAAGCTGCAAGAACAATCACTTCAGTCAGCAGTATGACAATGTTTATATGTGGTCAAATAATAGAGGATAATGACAAAATACACTTTTTTTCTGCTTAAATCTGTAGTCTTCTGAGTTGCACATTTCATGTAGATCTGCATATGGAGAATTCTGACTGCATTGAACACAATTTATAACAGTACTTGGACTTACGACATATGCTTGGGCTTCGCCATGCCACACAAGCTCCTTTTTTACGGCATTCAGCAGCGTAAGCTGCCACTGCAGTACAGAAACAATCACAGTCACCCCCACTGTCACATGCACAGGTGTCCCTTACACAGGCATCATAGTATGGGCCAGAATCCACCTAGAGACAAGAAATCATTTAAATATAAATTTCAGAAGACCACAAACTTTCTGAATGCACAAGGATTATAATTTTTACTCACACGTGAATGGCAGTCTGTAAAGACAGGGCTTGTGATGATGCTACATTGTTTGATAGCCCAGGCACTCCGATGTGGATTTTTTTCACATGGATTCATCAAGTTGCTCACTTCTGGACAGCTGGGATTCACCTTCCAGCTGTTTCCAAATGCCACTGCATCAGTGACCTCTTCTCCATCATGCTTCACAAAGTCATTGTTCGCATTACCGTCAAAGTTTCCACACAGTCCACACACCTTGCCCTGCCATAGAGATCATGTGGGTGTTAAGGTAAGTGGATGAACACAAAGGTGTAGAGAATGGTTTTGTGATTTGTGCATGTAGGGGTAATGCTTACCTTAAATTTAGGATGGAGTTGGAGCATCAGACTCGTCTTATTGTCCCAGATTAAGTTCAAAAGACCTTTGACCTCTATGACATTGTATATTCCAGCAGTATGGATTTGATATAGGTAATCAGTGCCATTGCTTTCAACAACTTTGATCCCATTCTCCTCTGATAAAATCATCTTGTATCTCTGCAGGATTTGAATAGTCAGTGACATACAATTATCCTTAAGCAAACAATGTCTGCATAAATATATTATTATATTCCAGATTTTAACATATTTTTAAACTATGCTCAAGATGACTCCGAGCTATTAAATAAACTCACCCCAAAGAAAAGATTGATGGATTTGGAGCAAATGGTGCCGCTGGTGCCACAGGGGATGTTCTCTGTGACCAGGCGTAGAAAATATGGACTCTGTTCATTATTGCAGTTATCCTAAAGGGGTTGCACATGAATTGTGTGTCAGACCAGAATAGTTTTTTTTTTACTAGGTAAGAAGCCAAATTCGAAGAAAAACATACATGGGCTAAGATGTGTTCACAGTCTCCAAGGAAAGAATATTTCTTGCCATCAAAAGTCATGAAATGACCTTCACCATAGATGGTACAGGTGCCATAACACTCATTATCTGTACAAGTCCACATCCCATTTGTGCATGTGCTGAAATATAGACAACAATTCACAGATTAACACTTTAATGTTATATGTTTCTTACCCCTCATTTTCAGTGAGACTGTAAAGTAGGAATCTTGTAATGTTTTTCAAATTACTTATTTTTTGGGGGATGGAGAAAAAAAGTAGTGCATAGGTTGTGATGGTATAGCTGTAATTTCTTTCTTACTACTATCAATGCTTCTTGCTGCTATCAATGCTAGCTCACCAGGTGTTACAGTCCTCTTGAACTTGCTCTCCAGGTGAATAGCTGAGTCCGTTGTGGACACAGGGGCAGTTTGTCCTCTCCACACACCCACCTTTTCCATCAGCCAGAAGGTCATCTGGACACATACACCCTGATACACACCCTGTACTCACCTACAGATAAAACAAACCAAGAAGGACCAACATTGGTAACCCTTCAAAATCCTTTTGTGGCAAAAAATACAATAACTGCTGGAAAACTGCTAACTGCTAAGTAATGTTTTTGTGTTTTCCCCATCCAAACTCACGCAGTTGTTTAGGTCTTGGTTCTGACAGGTCCTCTGACACTCTGTTCCTTTTGTTCCAGGTTCATAATTTGAGCATTTGAAGAAGACCATTGGAGCCACACAGTCTAAAAACAGTCACATGTATGAGAAGTGGGAAACTTCCACACTGATGACTCAGTTTGGAATTTGACAAGCGCAATTTCAGAATTAAGTTCCAACTTACCTTCTTGACTGGAGCAGTGCAATTTTCCAAGGGTACAGGTGCTATAATATGACAAAACAGTGCAAATCAGGTGTTACTTATGGTTGTCAAGACAAGAGTTATCATTGGTATTCTAACAACAATGCATTGGTTATGGAATGAGGAACTCATACCATGCAACACCGTCTATGTTGGATGTTACCGATGGTTCTATGACCTGGTTGCCTTTGTAACAAGGACACTGGTGGGCAGGCACACAACTGCCGTCTTCATTAAGGTAGGTTCCCTCAGAACAGACGCAGCCGTCTACAGGTGTGAAGGACCCTGGGCAGGTTCCTTCTGGTTCACTGAGAGAGCGGCAGGTGCTGCCACAGCTGGACACACCGTAGGAGTACTTCATGTTTTCTAAACACCCAGATGCTGTGCACAGATAAACACATTTTTATTATGACTCATTGTTTCATTTTATTCCAAATCTGCAGAATGTAATTCAAATGCATTAATTCTATTGAACTCTACAAGCAAGTATTCTCACCACAGGGGTCAGAATCCATCCAGCCCTGGAGAATGACTCCTCTGGCAGCACAGGCGTGGGCATAGTTGGACACGGCCGCACACATACACTTCCTAATATCTGCACATTTGCAGGTGTCATAGACACACCACTGCAGAGGATGAAACCCAGATGCAATTATATGTAATTCATACATATATACAGTTAATTTTAAAAGAGAAGAGTGTTCAGTGCAAAAATACTCACTTGGTAGAAAATCTCAGGACATATTTCTGAATGACATGCGGAAAAGACTCCGCTGTTGTTTGTAAGACGGGAACACCAGTCTTTAGCAAGTTTCTCTGAATGGAAAGAATAAAGAGAGTTCTGTAATGTTTGCAAGTTAAATAATCGCATATATTAATTACTTATCTATTTATTTATGTATTTATTTAAATGTTTGTAGTACTGTGTACCTGTGTCCACACTCAAGCTACAGGGGTTGTCAAATGTGTTTTCAAGATCTGGACAACTGTATGGGTTTTTCTTCCAGAAGTTGACAAATGTTATTGGTGTGCCCTCTATGATACCAGACTCTGTTTTGAAGTCATCTGATTGGACATCATTATAGTTTCCACATAGACCTGAAAGAAGAAAGGTGTAGAATTAAAAATTCAATGCCTGTAATTCATTCACTATGCACTGATGCATTTTTGAGAGGTCTTTTTTTTTATTATAAAGGAGTCATATATGTACATTTTAAATCATTATACTGTAGCAATCTTATAAATCTTAAATTTTTACTCTTTCCTCCTTCACTAGCAATATATATTTATTGACAAAACTTACCACTCATTTTCCCTTTCTCTTCAGTGCTGGCTACAATATACAACTGCATGACTGGAGCCAACTGGATCTCTAGACGAAGGCTCTTCATATCAGCAATGATGAAAGAGGAAGTGGGCTGGAAGATGCTCACAGGACCTGGGACAACAAAATGGGTGGGTAAAACAGAACATCTAGTCATCGGTGCCTATTGTTATGGTAATATACTTATAGGATGTCAACCCACCTGTGGTGGCAGGAAGCTTATATGGACTGTTTTCATTCAGTGTCACAACACCATTGGAGGCAAAACGAATCTGTTTTATAAGTAAAACAACAACAACAAAAAGAAAAGAAAATATGTTTTGTAATTGCATCTTGGAGGATTTTGCAATAAAAAAGATGGTGAAGTATGCTTTATGTACTCAGCACTATGCTGAAAGCAAGTGTATCATTCTGATCATAGACAATAGAAAAATTTAAAATAGGAACTCCGTGCTTACAGTGGTCCCTGAAATGACAAGGGTAACTGAATTTAGACATGTGTCTGTTCGGGCCGGATCACACTTGGCCAGGTTTCCCACGACAGCAATATCACTGTCATTAGAGTGCTGGAATGAAAGAAATGATTGTAAGAACCTCAACAACGTTATATAGTGTGTATTACATACAGGGGAATGGCAAACGTTATAATGTCAGAACTTTTCTAATTGTTATATAAACCATATGAATAAATGTGTAAGTGAAGGCTTTCATTTATCTCGCCCTGAAAAAAAAAACCCATCTGGATCATCTGCTGTACTGGCAGACCTTAGTAAGGATGTAGTCACAGTTGCCACTGAAGGTGAAGGGAACTAAACCAAGAGAGACAGTTTTTAAATATCTAATCTGTGATAAGTACTTTCAGTGAGCAAAAATACACAATTTAGTTCCCTGAATTGTAAGAACTGATGCTAAACATGCAGTTTAAATAATTGTTTAATACCTTTTGTTACCATCACAGTCGTCATTGGGAACGCTAAATATAACAGACAAAAAGAAAAACTTTTCATTTTTTATGAAACACATTTGCTTGCAAAAGAAAAGAAAACTTTCCTTCTAAAAATGTTATAAGACGGATATAGTGTCAGTGTTACAAAAGTCACATTTACCCACTCAAAAAATAGTACACCTCAAAATGTCTTTGCTGTAATATTTATGAATATTTCTGAACATATTGTTACTGAACTTTGAACGTCCTAAATAGTGTTTTACAATTATAATGCGCAGACCACTTAAACTTTTACTTTACTTTATTCATAATTAGAAACTTGACTGAAAGAATGTTACATATTTTAAAGATTGAAATTATCAGTTCGTTCAGTTTTCTATTCCATAATTGGTGTTTCAATTGTCATTGACCTTACAACCACGGTTAAAATCTTGTAAGTTGGTTCATATAAATGTTTTATCATATTAAAGTTTTTGATATTAAATTTGACATTTTTGTCATCTATGTTCAATTTTAATCAACAATTAGAATTTTTCAGCAAAATTTGTAAAAAAATAAATAAAAAATTTTCAGGCAGAGTGAACTTTACTGTTATCAGTCTATCTATATTTTTGATTGATGAGAAATTTAAACTGAAATACTTTGATTAAATATATTTGAATTTACTTATACAATACAAAAGGTTTTAGGTTTACTTCTTCTGATTGATCTGATGGTTCTTGGTCAGTACATCTCATATAATACATAACTACATTTAAAAATATTCACCTGTTGTTGTTGGCGGCCAGGTTGTAAAGTCCATAGGATCCTTCATAACATCCCCATAATCCCCCAAGAAGCCTTTAACATAGAAAGAGGTTTTTAAATGATATTTTCAATGTCATTTCAAGGATTTCAAAGTTTTTTGCTTCTTTTTTTCAGTTTTATTCTGCTTACCTGCTTGTACCGACTGCAGCCCCATCAGCAGGATGACCCATCTCAGCATGCACATCTGGGACATCCTCACAGTCCCCATGGAGACAACATCCATCCTCAAGAGCTAATGTGAGCTACCTGTCAGCACTTGTCCTTTTATAATTGCTATTAGTTTGCTTTGGAGGAATGTAGTTTGTGATCAGAGGGTGGACCCGTTGCTTGAATTTGGCCTTGGGCTTGGTAGATACTTGATGCAAACAAATATTTAATGTCTTCGTTGGTGATATTAAATAAACTGTATTTAAATGATGAGAAAGACGTTCGGCCACACAATGATTCATTTTTTGCTTGTTTGAATTACAAGGATGTACAAGGATGTGGCTCTTGACTCGTCCCCAATGTGAAATATATTTTATTTAGCAATGTAATTTTTGTAATTGTCAAATTGTCTTTGAAAAATTTGCTAGCACTACTGAATGTTACTATTTTTGGCAAATTGGCAATGCAAATTCAGTCTTTCTGCTCAACTAATAACGTAATAGCTATCAGAATTAAAATGTCAATGAATCATGTTTAATGAGACGTTTATATTTTGGTGTTTATTAAAAAAATCATGAGAATGTATTAGAAAATATAGCTGCAAAAAATAATTTTGGAACCAAGCACACAAACTCCATAAATGTATTAATGTATTAAATATAGCATTCCTGGTAATTATTTTAATCTAGCAGGATTAAAATCCGTAACTACAGGTATCATTCAGTGCTCTGTGACCAAAACAGGCATTCTGTGCTTCCGTGATAAAATTGTTTTCAAGCTTAAAGTACCACCTTCATGTTTTGTTTAATTTTGATTCATTTTCAATTAAATTAAATTCAATTCAAGTTTATTTGTATAGCACTTTTTACGATACAAATCGTTGCAAAGCAACTTTACAGAAAATTAAGTTTCTACAATATTTAGAAGTAGCTTATCAGTGGTGACTGTCAGTTTATGTACGATTAATTAATCGGCTAAAATGTGATTAATTAGATTTAAAATATTCATCAATTGACAGTCAGCTAATACTTGCATCTTAAATCAATACTATGACATAATCCAAAGGTAAATAGGAACAGTACTCAATTCAATAGCCTTTCAGCAGAGTTGTGTATTCAGAGCTTCATCTCGCCCAGTTTGACATGTTTAAGGGGTTAATTCTTTGAAACCTCTTACGACTGTAGATCTTTCTGGTTGCAACAGCAAACATATGGGAAGTATTTATATGTGTAAACATTGTCTTTTCTATTCTCACTGTTTGCTAAGTGTCAGAGTCCTCGTATTGAAGGATGAATTTGACCGCGTATTAAAGTACGTCAATAGCATTATTAAATTATTCAAAGGTCCCTTAAACAACAGACTATGCTTTTTGGTCAATATATTGGGTGTGTGTTGGTATTACATACCTGAAAAAAGAATTTGATATGTATTAAATGTGACCCTGGACCACAAAACCATAAGGGTCAATTTTTCGAAATTGAGATTTTAGGGTTGGGTACTGATTGGCACCGGTACCTATAGGCAGGGGCGTGTCTACGTGGTGGCCAGGGGTGGCACCATCTGGCTGTGGCGGATCCTGGCATGTGTAGGCAGCTGCCTAGGGCCACTTTCTTCTCTTCTTTATACTTAATTTTAGGCGGTTTCTATAGTGTGATCTTAATGACAATGTCGAGAGCGCATAATGTTACGCGAAACAGAAACAGAGGGCACAAGGTGTGTGTTTATCGATAGATTGTTATAATATCTGTATCTGTGCAGTTCTTTGTCATACATACAGTTTACAAAAGGTCACGAGGGAGCAATCGGTTTCCCATCTAACATTACTGTAAAGTTTTCGCTGCATTCAACCCTCATCACACCACAGCTGTTTCCTACAGCGAAAATCTAGCCCTCAACTATGGGATCAGAATCCCATACCATTCATCCACATTTGAACAGAGTGGGCAGTGAAATCCTGTAAATACAGAGTGATAAGGGAAAAAAAATTCAAACCTGCTTTAAAACCCAGCAACACAACTGTAGATGTATGTATAACTTTACAACAGTAACACTGCTTTAACAAAAAAGCAAAACAGCAAGACTTATTTGACATCAAAACAAACATTTTAAATGCTCTCAAGTAAATGTACTTAGTTACTGTCCGCCTCTGCATATGATTAATTGCAGTTGGGTGTGCAAATATATGCTCAGGTCTTAAAGCTGTCTTTTAAAACAAAAAGGATCCAATATATGTTACTTAAAAATATTGTATAATCTGAAAAAATTACAAAGTAGGGAAGTCTAAATTCTCTTTAGTTTCGCCTTCATTTTTGTTTTCCGATTTGAGCTTCTTGTGTGTGTCATTATTCATTGAGCGCTTTGCATGCATGTTTGATGGTAATTTGTTAACAATAGTTTATGCAGGGGTGCCAAATCCTGTTTCTGGAGATCTACCTTTCGGCAGAGTTTGATTCCAACCCTGCTTCAACACAACTGTCTCTGAGTATGTTTCTGAATATTTTGGTGCATGTGTGTTTGATTAGAACTTAACTTTGCAGTAAGGTGGATCTACAGGAACAGGTTTAATGCATTGAGTATCATGTTGTTTACAGCATTTATTCATATAGGTTAATGTTAATTCATAAATAAACAATTGTTCATTGTTAATTCAGGTTTGTTCATAAACTTAATTGGAATTACATGAAACATTACAATTAAAAAAAACATATTAGCATATGTAGGAATAAATATTATTAACCAAGATGCTGTGAAAGTATTGTTTAATGTTAGCTGATGCTAAGTGCTGATGCCAGTTTTCTATTTCCTGATCATTTTGGGAGAGAAAAAAAGTCCATTATACAGTTTTTGCCATTTATTTTGCTTTATTATAGTCATCACTCATTTCACAAAAATTAAATGTAAAGAATTTTATTTTGCATCGCTAAAGAAGAAACGAAATGTTCAAAATGCCCTGAAAATGCCCTGAGAGATAATAGTTATAGAACAAAAAGCTGAATGGTCCCATCTTTCACCAATATATATATATATATATATATATATATATATATATGTTTTTTGCAATTTATCTGGAATTGTAGCAGTATAGCAGACGCACTGAACGGGATCTTTTATCCACTGGTCTTCTGGTTTTCACATGTAACTGGAGTGCATTTGCAGCTCTCTATGTAGACGTAGTTATGATCGATCACACTGTCATCAGAACACTTCAGCTGCACTTTTTTAATGCTGGTTTTCATCTCCTGACAGCAAGAACAGCTGTGCATCATGATGTTGGCGCCCATTGAATACCTTTGCGGATTTCCAAGAAAAACACCAGTCAGTTGAGCACAAAAAAACGCTTCCAATATACAAGTCTGTGTTAAAGTTGTAATATAGCCCTGTTTACAGCTGGAATTAACAATCATTCAATATGAGTATGTAAGTATGAAGTATATTTGACAAGAACTCATGTCAGTGTGCTCTCACATTGATTCTGTGTCACAGTGGCCACTGCAGGAAGTCACTTCTATGGGATGGATGGACTTGCAGTCATTTACAGTAACATCAGTGGTGTTCGTAACACGAATACAGTTCTTGAGCTCACCTGAGATATTAGAGGTAATAGGAGATGATATAAATATATTTTTGGAACAATTTAAAATACTGGGACTTGTTTATAAAAAGCAGGACCATAAGGAAGTTTTGAACAAGGAAACAATTTCTTACAGGTATTGCAACATCCATCTGCATCAAGTCTCAGCGTTCCCTGTAAGGACAAATAGGGCTTTGTTTAAACATCATATTCATAATTAAAGGGATAGGTTATTCAAAGTTTGTATTGTTCCAAACCTGTGTAATTATGATAAAGCAACATATTATCCAAATGGTTTTGTCTGTACAAAGTCAATGGGGTTCAAAACAACATCAGAATATCTTCTTTTGTGTCCCACAGATGAAAAATTCACACAGGTTTGGAACAACATGAGGGTGAGTAAATGTTGACAGAAGTTACAACACCTTTTAAGCTGAATTATTTAAGCACTACACATGGAAACCCCCCCCACACTCATATGGATTGATCACAGGACAGGTTGGTATGGTCTTCTCTATCACAAATGTGTCATTAATTTGTTGACAGGTCACAGTCTCACACTTGTAGTTGTGCGTGTCTCCAATCTACAAAAAAAAAAAAAAAAAGATCTAATAGCTGAACAGATCTGGTGAGCTGAATGTGTGAAGAAAGGTTTGAGAATATGCACCTTGAGAATATGTGTGGTGTTGTCTGGCGCAGTATAAAAACAGTTATTTAGCTTGCATGTTTCACAGCATTCTCCTTCTTGTTTGACTGCCAGAAAGCCCTTGGAGTACAAAAAGCAATTTTATAATTTAGATGTTTATATACTTATAGTTTAGAAGTTGATATAATGGTTCACAAGAATAAATTGTAATTATTACATCAGGGCAAGGTGCACAGGCTATAGAAGCGCACATGACGAGATGTAGTTGGGTCTGTGGGTCTTTATCCATTAGACAGTTACATTCGACGCAAGCATCTGTGGGGATTTTAACTCCAGGCTAGAAGAAAACAGAGATTATCTAGTCAGAAAAGTGTAAAATACTAACAGTATTATCTTTTGTTCCATTTTAAATATCAGGATTTGCCCAAATTAACTTTATTAATATAAGCAAATGAACCCAGCAGCTTACCTGGTACTCGGTGTTATTGTACACACATACGTCTTTGGGCACTGAAAATCATAAAAATCAATTTTATAAGCCATTAAACCAGTTCAATAATAATTTAGTCATTTTAAAGAAAAAGTGTCATTTGTGTTAAGCAGTTCATTTTTATGTCTTAATAAAATATTAAACTCACAATGTGTAAAGATAGAAATCATATTAGTTAGTCTTTTAAATAATTACACTACTGCTTTGAGCAGATGTTGCTATTTTTGGCATGTAAAAAAATAGAAAATGTCATATTCCAGATTCTCTTCAGATTGCATTTTTATAGAAATACATTAAATTACAACATGGACTCAAAAGGTACTGCCTGATAGGAATGACTCGTTTTTTTTGTAGGACAGCTAATTGTTTAACATTTAAATCCACAGAATGATATGTGAGACTTACCACAGGGTGGACAGCAACTGTCTTCAGATTTATTTGCTGCCAACTCGTATCCCACATCACATTTCTTCTGAAGACACAGCTCGAGATCACACACTTAAATGGGTTGAGAAATGGGGAGTCTTATAAATGATTTTTGAATGCATTTATGTAGGGATAGTTCAATAGTGGCAGTAATTGTGAATCATTTATTTGCTTCAAATTCATTATCTTGCTTGTAATGTTCAAGCAAGTTTAGTCTTGACTCACCGCAGGTTGGGCAGCAGTTTTCAATTATTTTCTTTTGTTCTGGTCCACAGGGCTTTTCAGCCGGACACCCGACAGGCACAGTTTTAATACCAAAGGTCTCATTGGAGCATGTGTATTCATGACAGCTCATGGTCCATGTATCCCCAGGCTGCAGGAGGAAAAACAAGTAGATGATAGTTAGGAATTAGTGATGATTATGAATAGCAAATGCTAACTGAAATATTATTATTATTTTTTTATATATCTTGTTTTGCCTATACATACCTGTCTAGGTAATCCATCAGGGCCGATGCAATCTACATGGAGGGAATGAAAATAAAATCAGTGGAAATAAGACGTGAATGTGCATTAATCTAGCAAACAGAGAAAATAAGGAACTACAGTAAGTAAATAAAGCAACATGTCTTACCGCAATAAGATGTACAGGTATCTATCGTTGAACTAACTGGGTATTTATCGTCAGGACAGTAACAGCCTTCCGTGACTGTTTGATGACAGTTATTGTCTTGACAGTCTTTCTCCACAAACCTATCATTGTACCTAGTTTTAAGTTAACAGAAGCACATCAGATAATGAAGTATTACAATTGCCGCACTTACTAATGACTGTTGTTTTGTAGATATGAGATGTGAGCTTACCTTGTACTGCAGGTTTTTTCAACTTTAGGACCACATGCCTTATAGACTTTGTGACTGGGGCACTTGTATTCTGTTATAGAAATCAATGACAATTATGTGTCAAGGTCCTCTCAAGTACAACATATTTAAAAAACAAAAACAAAAAAAACACCCAAAAATACTCAAATGGTTAGGTTCATTCTGCTTACCACACTTTTTCGTGAGTTCATTTGATGTTCTCCAGTCTACACAGATACCCTCTTTGCCACATAGCAGAGCGTATGCCTCCAGACTGGTACAACCAATAGAGCTCTTTGTCATGTGGCACACATCATATTTGCATGCCTCATAATAATTTTCATAAGGAACGACCCCATGGCATTTCATAAACATACTGTGAAGAAACGTATACTAAATTTGACTTTTGATTTCAGGCATCTTAAAGGCACAGTGCAGCCAAAAATGTTCTTTTACCATGATGTTCTTTCAAACCTGTATGACTTTGTTTATTCTATTTTTGCACCAAATAAAGAAAGTCAAACACATTTGGAACAACTTGAGGGTGAGTAAATGATGACAGTTTACTTGCATTTACCTTTAAAAGGAAAAAACGCTTTGTAATAATCAGTGTTACCAACAGAAGTGATTAACATTTTTTTGCTTTTCCTTACTCGCTCTTGATGAGATCACAAATCGTCACATTGCAGAAAATAATTGGAGTTGGAGATGGAGGTTGAGGTTTAGGTGTTTTGCATCCTGGGGGGACCATCCAAAGCCGTGCCATGTTCACACATGATGGGTCGATTTGTCCATCGGGACGTCTGCAGTCATTTGCACGGTTGTTGTCACAAACCCCTAAAAATTTTTAGTTTTAATTATAGTTAATCTGAATTTAGTGAGCAAGTAATGGGACAATTAAAAGTAAATTTATTATTAACATTCAGGTAGAGAGAATTCTTTTTTTTTTTTTTTTTTGCACTGGTAAATGTAAAATGAAACTGACACATACAGTATTCTTTGTTCCCATCTCTCAGATATTTTTCTATCTGTACTCACCGCACTGTCCCTCTGTATTACCATGGAAGTAGGAGAATGGGAGATTGATCTCAAAACCTTGATGATTCACAGAAATGTCAACTTTGATTTCAGTGATGTTCACAGTTACTGCCATGCCAGAGGTGGTGATGAAGAAGTCATTATTTATGTAAGTTAGTTGTTTCATTTCATCATTAACACAGACCTGAGGGAAACAAGGCCTTTCTGTATTATCATGACAATTATTCTCTAGAGTAAAATTTTTAGGTATTTTTTTATATTCAATCAGAAACCTGTGAATGTTTTGATGTAGTCCTAAGACTTACCTGGACCTCTTTAGTGTTGCTAGTCAGCTTGATTTTATAAGATTTGTAGTTCACAATCACATACTCAGGGCAGGCGAGATTATTTTTAACATCACAAAAATAGTTTTTAACATGGACACTGATATTGTATCTTGGGATGATTTCTTGGAACAAAACATAAGTGCAGTTTCCCTGGAAAGCGTAGTATGTTCCATCGAATGTTTTGTAATGTGGGTCACCCCAGCCACTGCATTTACCTGCCAAAACAAATTACACCAAAAGTAAACATAAGGCACAGGCTACACTCTAAAAAATACTGGGTCAAAACAACCCAATTGCTGGGTTTGTCCCTATTTTACCCAGCACTGGGTTGTATTTAACCCAGCATTTTTTAGAGTGTAGGATCAATGACATTTACTTAATATAAATATTTAATATTAATGAAATGTCCATGAGCATGATTTAAACTCACATTCACACTCATACTTAAAGCAGCAGCCATTGTTATAAGACACCTTCTTAGGTTTAATTCCATTAGTACATGTAGGTATGTCAGATTTGACACACTGTAGAGGTTTTGAGGTGACACTGCCATTTATGCATGTTTTGTTTACGCAGTCTTCAATCCATGACTCCATATGCTGAATGACACAATCAGATCGATGAACAGAAACTAATCAAAAAACTAATTATAATTCATTTCAGGTATTTTTTAAATCATTTTCTTAACAATTAGTACTCCAGTCATCTAGTAGTTATACAATACGTAATTAATTTAGTGTTGTATTAATAACAAATAATCAGTATAGGCCATTTTCGTATTGTTAATTTTGAAAAAAAAAATACATCCAGAAAATTTGTAGAAATTGTAAGTGTTGCTGCATAAGTGTACTGCTATTGTACTCTTATGAAAATACCTTTCTTTTAACTTGTGCACAGTCGTTTCTTGGGGGTGGTATGCATTGCTGAGACTGTATCACTATACCACAGGTGGAGTTGCAGTAGGCAGTATAGCACCAACCTGCTTGATCTGTTCGATTGTAGATTGTTGAATCTGTAATTATAATAAAAGGATGTGCAAAGGAGGTAAACAATAAGAGAGAATTTATAAAAAAGTTGAACTTGAATGTAATGTAGGGTCAAGATAATGTACACAAAGGATTAAACAAACTGTAAAGTTGGAACATTTTGTTTGAGAGAGAATTGTTAAAGCAGCACTTACTTGATGAGTATGTTTCATTTAAATATTTGCATGCGCACTGTGGTGATGGTGGAATTGAGATGATCCTGGGAGTTGTCCCTGTATCCACATTGAACTTTGTTGTAGTAGGGAAGGTCCTTGTAGATGTCTTTGTTGATGTGGGTGTTGTGCCAGTAATTGTACTAGTTGAAGATGATATTTCTGTTGATGTAGGTGTCATTGTTACAGTAGATGATGTGATAGTAGTGGTTGTGTACGTTGATGTAGGTGTTGTAACAGTTTTAGGCGATGTTTCTGATGACGTAGGCGTCGATGTTCCAGTGGTTGGGGTAGTAGTGGATGTGATTGTAGATGGTGTTTCTGTTGATGTGGGTGTTACTGTAACAGTTGTAGGTGATGTTTCTGTTGACGTAGGTGTCGATGCTCCAGTAGTTGGAGTTGTAGTGGATGTGATTGTGGATGGTGTTTCTGTTGATGTGGGTGTTACTGTAACAGTTGTAGGTGATGCTTCTGTTGATGTAGGTGTCGATGTTCCAGTAGTTGTAGTGGTAGTGGATGTGATTGTGAATGGTGTTTCTGTTGATGTGGGTGTTATTGTAACAGTTGTAGGTGTTGGTGTTACAGTGGTTGTTGAGGTAGTGGATGTTAGTGTACTTGGAGACGTTGTAGTAGGAGTACACTGGTAGTCTGGTTCACAACATTTGAGACGTATTTCATAATTATAACAAAGTGGTGGCATGCCATTTGAATTGTCTTCATTTGAACATGACAGTCCAAATGATGTATTGCAATGAAGTGTTTGTCCCAAATCTTGCAGAGACTTTTGGGGATAATTTACTGCCCTACATTCAATCACTTCAGGGCTCTGACAGATAATCTTTCCTGAATTCCACAATTCATCAATGGATTCAGTTTCGAATCCTTCTGGCTCTGTACTGGGTGTGTTGCCATCAATCCAATCTGACCATGTGCATCTATCAGCACAGATGGGAGTTGTTGTTGTAGCAGTAGTTGTACTAATTGTAGATGGCGTTTCTGTTGATGTAAATGTTACTGTAACTGTTGTAGGGGATGTTTCTGATGACGTAGGTGTCAATGTTTCTGTAGTTGGGGTAGTAGTGGATGTGATTGTAGATGGTGTTTCTGTTGACGTAGGTGTCGATGTTCCAGTAGTTGGAGTAGTAGTGGATGTAATTGTAGATGGTGTTTCTGTTGAAGTAGGTGTTACTGTAACTGTTGTAAGTGATGTTTCTGTTGATGTAGGTGTTGATGTACCAGTAGTTGGGGTAGTAGTGGAAGTGATTGTGGGTGGTGTTTCTCTTGATGTAGATGTTACTGTAACAGTTGTAGGTGATGTTTCTGTTGACGTAGGTGTCGATGTTCCAGTAGTTGTAGTGGTAGTGGATGTGACTGTGGGTGGTGTTTCTGTTGATGTAGATATTACTGTAACAGTTGTAGGTGATGTTTCTGTTGACATAGGTGTCGATGTTCCAGTAGTTGGAGTAGTAGTGGATGTGATTGTGGGTGGTGTTTCTGTTGATGTAGATGTTACTGTAACAGTTGTAGGTGATGTTTCTGTTGACGTAGGTGTCGATGTTCCAGTAGTTGTAGTGGTAGTGGATGTGATTGTGGATGGTGTTTCTGTTGATGTGGGTGTTATTGTAACAGTTGTAGGTGTTGGTGTTACAGTGGTTGTTGAGGTAGTGGATGTTAGTGTACTTGGAGACGTTGTAGTAGGAGTACACTGGTAGTCTGGTTCACAACATTTGAGACGTATTTCATAATTATAACAAAGTGGTGGCATGCCATTTGAATTGTCTTCATTTGAACATGACAGTCCAAATGATGTATTGCAATAAAGTGTTTGTCCCAAATCTTGCAGAGACTTTTGGGGATAATTTACTGCCCTACATTCAATCACCTCAGGGCTCTGACAGATAATCTTTCCTGAATTCCACAATTCATCAATGGATTCAGTTTCGAATCCTTCTGGCTCTGTACTGGGTGTGTTGCCATCAATCCAATCTGACCATGTGCATCTATCAGCACAGATGGGAGTTGTTGTTGTAGCAGTAGTTGTACTAATTGTAGATGGCGTTTCTCTTGATGTAAATGTTATTGTAACTGTTGTAGGGGATGTTTCTGATGACGTAGGTGTCGATGTTCCTGTAGTTGGGGTAGTAGTGGATGTGATTGTAGATGGTGTTTCTGTTGACGTAGGTGTCGATGTTCCAGTAGTTGTAGTGGTAGTGGATGTGATTGTGGATGGTGTTTCTGTTGATGTGGGTGTTATTGTAACAGTTGTAGGTGTTGGTGTTACAGTGGTTGTTGAGGTAGTGGATGTTAGTGTACTTGGAGACGTTGTAGTAGGAGTACACTGGTAGTCTGGTTCACAACATTTGAGACGTATTTCATAATTATAACAAAGTGGTGGCATGCCATTTGAATTGTCTTCATTTGAACATGACAGTCCAAATGATGTATTGCAATAAAGTGTTTGTCCCAAATCTTGCAGAGACTTTTGGGGATAATTTACTGCCCTACATTCAATCACTTCAGGGCTCTGACAGATAATCTTTCCTGAATTCCACAGTTCATCAATGGATTCAGTTTCGAATCCTTCTGGCTCTGTACTGGGTGTGTTGCCATCAATCCAATCTGACCATGTGCATCTATCAGCACAGATGGGAGTTGTTGTTGTAGCAGTAGTTGTACTAATTGTAGATGGCGTTTCTGTTGATGTAAATGTTACTGTAACTGTTGTAGGGGATGTTTCTGATGACGTAGGTGTCAATGTTTCTGTAGTTGGGGTAGTAGTGGATGTGATTGTAGATGGTGTTTCTGTTGACGTAGGTGTCGATGTTCCAGTAGTTGTAGTGGTAGTGGATGTGATTGTGGATGGTGTTTCTGTTGATGTGGGTGTTACTGTAACAGTTGTAGGTGATGTTTCTGTTGACGTAGGTGTCGATATTCCAGTAGTTGTAGTGGTAGTGGATGTGATTGTGGATGGTGTTTCTGTTGATGTGTGTGTTATTGTAACCGTTGTAGGTGTTGATGTTACAGTGGTTGTTGAGGTAGTGGATGTTAGTGTACTTGGAGACGTTGTAGTAGGAGTACACTGGTAGTCTGGTTCACAACATTTGAGACGTATTTCATAATTATAACAAAGTGGTGGCATGCCATTTGAATTGTCTTCATTTGAACATGACAGTCCAAATGATGTATTGCAATAAAGTGTTTGTCCCAAATCTTGCAGAGACTTTTGGGGATAATTTACTGCCCTACATTCAATCACTTCAGGGCTCTGACAGATAATCTTTCCTGAATTCCACAATTGATCAATGGATTCAGTTTCGAATCCTTCTGGCTCTGTACTGGGTGTGTTGCCATCAATCCAATCTGACCATGTGCATCTATCAGCACAGATGGGAGTTGTTGTTGTAGCAGTAGTTGTACTAATTGTAGATGGTGTTTCTGTTGAAGTAGGTGTTATTGTAACAGTTGTAGGTGATGTTTCTGTTGACGTAGGTGTCGATGTTCCAGTAGTTGTAGTGGATGTGATTGTGGATGGTGTTTCTGTTGATGTGGGATTTATTGTAACAGTTGTAGGTGATGTTTCTGTTGATGTAGGTGTCGATGTTCCAGTAGTTGGAGTAGTAGTGGATGTGATTGTGGGTGGTGTTTCTGTTGATGTAGATGTTACTGTAACAGTTGTAGGTGATGTTTCTGTTGACGTAGGTGTCGATGTTCCAGTAGTTGTAGTGGTAGTGGATGTGATTGTGGATGGTGTTTCTGTTGACATAGGTGTCGATGTCCCAGTACTTGTTGTGGTAGTAGTGAATGTGATTGTGGGTGTCTCTGAAGTTTGAGTTGTTTTAGTAGTTTCAGGTGTAGTTGTGAAAGTGAAAGGTGTTGAGGTTGAGGGGCATTCAGTAACAATTCTTATTATTTCCCCATTGGAGTCACACAGAGCAGTGAAACATATACCATTTCCATCTGTGGTTTTGTAAATGTCCGATCCACGTGGATATACCTTCCCATTATAGAAACAGTCTTTACATCCTTCCTCTGTGACACACTTAATAGTCTCCTCCCTGAAATATGGCCTCTCTGAAGGGCACTGAAGAAAACATCCTAAAAGTATAAATAAAATAGTCAGATTAGACTGAAAAACAAGACACTATTAAAAACGTTTGTTGACACTTCGGTACCTACAGTATGTAATAGTGTTACACTAAAATTCTTATTTCTTACCCTCAAGGGGAGGAATTTGATCAGAGCAAGTTCCTGAGGGGTTTTTGCAGGTTTTCATGCAAGTGGATCCACAGGGTTTATAGTGCCACTCACATTCTCCTGGAGCGTTGTAGTAGTCACAGAACAAAGCTGCAAGAACAATCTCTTGAGTTCAGTGGTTATATTTGAGAGTTATTTCATCTATGGGCACATTTATGCCCCATAAAGCTAAGGATTTAAACTTTCTTCTTTTTATTAAATAAATATTGAATTACTTGTATGTATGTACTTATATGTATAGATTTTGTTGTTTCCTTGTTCCAGACACAAATATATGATACTATGATATAAATAACTACAAATAATTTAATAATTATCCATATTTATTGTGTGAAAATTTGGAAATCAATAAATGCATTCCTTGCCCAAATTATTTGTTTGCATTTTATAGGCGAAATAAATTATAGAAATAATAGGACTTACGGCAAAAGTCTGGTCTTCGCCATGCCACACAAGCACCTCTTTTACGGCATTCAGCAGCGTAAGCTGCCACTGCAGTACAGAGACAATCACAGTCACCCCCACTGTCACATGCACAGGTGTCCCTTACACATGCATCATAGTATGGACCAGAATCTACCTAGAGACAGAAAAATCAGACACAGAACTGTAAGGGTTAGATAACTGCACTAGATGTAATACATTAAATTGTAAAGTACTAAACTATACACATTCATTCTATTTCAGTGATGATTGATTATTTTGTTCTCAATTTGTTACTTACAAGTGAATGGCAGTCTGTAAAGACAGGGGTTGTGATGATTATGCATTGTTTGATAGCCCAGGCACGTCGATGTGGATTTGCGTCACAAGGATGCTTCACGTTTGTCACATCAGGACAGTTTGGATTCACCTTCCAGCTATTCCCAAAATCTTCTGGATCTGTCACCACTTCTCCATTGTGCTTCATAAAGTCATTGTTCGCATTACCATCAAAGTTTCCACAGAGTCCACACACCTTGCTCTGCCATAGAGATCATATAGATTTTTAGTAGATGAACAAAGCTCTTGTCTATGGGTGTACCTTTAATGAATGCATACCTTTAATTTGTGATTGAGTTGGATCATCACACTTGTTTTTTTATCCCAAATTAAGTTCAAAAGACCTTCAACCTCTATGACAACATATATGCCTGCAGAAGTAATTTTATATCGGTACTCCGTGCCGTTGCTTTCAACAACCTTCACATCTTCCTCCTCAGATAAAATCATCTCGTATTTCTGTGGGATATGAAAAGTGGCTTAACATGTTTTATATTGCACATTTTAGCTTTGCTAATGCACCTGTGCTGACTCTGAGCTATGAAATAACCTCACCCCAAAGAACAGATTGATGGACTTGGAGCAAATGGAGTTGGTGGTGGCACAAGGGATGTTCTCTGTGACCAGGTGGAAGGAGGGACTGGGGTTCATATCGCAATAATCCTAGAGGGGTTACACACATCAGAGATATTCCAGGTTACAATGCCCCAGATAATTATCACCTAAAACCTCTTATATAAAATCAGATTTTTTTCATGCTATTTTTATTGCAAGCCTATTTATTGTGTCAGGTATGTGTCAGATATCTGTATATCGACTTTTTTCCCCCCATTGGGACAGTCAAACATACATGGGCGATGGTGTGTTCACAGTCTCCGTGGAAGGAATATCTTCTGCCATCAAAAGTCCTGAAATGACCTTCACCGTAGATGGTACAAGTGCCATAGCACGCCTTTTCAGTACAAGTCCACATTCCATTTGTGCATGTGCTGAAATATAGAGTAAATTCACAAAATAAAAAACTACCCCAAATTTTATTTACTTGTTTCTGAAGGTTAGAACTCCATGGGCCTAAACTGTCATGTAAAACCTTGCTACAATCAGTATGACCAAATATAATGAGTTCTGTTTTCTGTACATTTAACCATATAAGATTATTGGAAATGCACATCTTTACACTATACTTGTAGAAGTGTGCCTCAAGTGTGTCTAAATTTCTGACTAGTAGTGGAGATGTTAAATGATAGTACAAGGATGGCACTGGGATAACATGGTTTATAACAACTGGGATTAGCTCACCAGGTGTTACAGTCCTGTTGAACTTGCTCTCCAGGTGAATAGGTGACTCCATTATGGGTACATGGACATTTTTCCATCTTCACACACCCACCTTTTCCATCAGCCAGAAGGTCATCTCGACACATACACCCTGATGTACACCCCATGCTCACCTATTGCCAAGACAAAATTGGTAAGCCATCCTTTCCCTGTATCACAAGATTTCTATTGCATGTTATCGACACTGTATATCAGGTTTGTGTACCATTCAGAGCTGGCATGAAAATGCTACATTTGAAATTGAGTAAGCAAACAGGATTTCATGAAATACATAAAAATGCTGTAACTGATCTTTTCATTCATTCAGTTATTCATGTATTCCATTCTTCCAACTCACACAGTTGTTTGGGTCTTGCTTTTCACATGTCCTCTGACACTCCGTTCCTTTTTCTCCATGATTTGAGCATTTGAAGAATGTCATTGGAGCCACACAGTCTAAAAACACAAAAGGCATATGGATGAGGTGGAGAAAATTAGCACACATCATAGCAGCGGTGACTCAAGTTTGAATTTAAATGGTAGTATTGCGGAAGAGCTAATTGCAGATCACCTTTTTGACTGGAGCAGTGCAGTTTGCCAAGGTTACAGGTGCTGTAATTTGAACAAACAGTGCAAATAATTACTAAATCTACCATTAATAGTTAACAATGCATGTCAATATTGTTAAATTGTTTGCCATTTGGGCTATTGAAAAAAAAAAAATGTTAAAAAATGATTCAGAAAAAAGTTAATGGATACATTATGCGCAGTGTTGGGCAAGTTACTCTGAAAATGTAATCAAATTACTGATTACTGATTACTCCTTTTAAAAGTAATCATGTTACTGTTCTGATTACTTTATTTCAAAAGTAATTAGTAATTAGTTACATTACTATTTACGTTACTTTTTTCTCCATGAAATTCATGAAATTCCAGCATACACGCTCCCAATAAGTATTTGTTATTAAAGCATCAACATTCACAGAACACTGTTATTTTAACTAAAGCAGTGCATGGTTCGGCATGGCAGAATGCCAGCAAAGAGCGCTGCATTTATAATCTCTAAAAGACATCTCAGTTCATTGCAATCTCACAAATCTCTGTTATAACACAATAAATATATGCATAATGAATCTTTCATAATGTCTACAAATCGTGTGTTATAATGAGAGGATTCGTGAACAGGCAAATTTCAGCACTGCATTGCTCAACTCTGCAAACACGTGTTATAGCCTAAATAGAAACTGTGCATACGCTTGCACCTGTTAATCGTTTATATTTTATATTAGTTCATGTAGCTTTTGTGCAATAGATGAATAACAATTTATTTGTTTTAGATATTTTATGTT